ATAGGGTCGCTGAGTGGAGAAGATGGCCAACTACTAACAGAGGACAGGGAAAAGGCTGAACTTCTCAACACCTTCTTTGCCTCAGTTTTCTCCAAAAAGGAAAATAGTCCTTAACCTTAGGGGCGGAGAGGAGGTGATGTAGTGGGGGAAATGGAGCACAGAATAGGTAGAGAAGTAGTACAGGAATACCTGGCTACTCTAAATGAATTCAAATCTCCAGGGCCAGATGAATTACATCCAAGGATATTAAAAGAACTGGCAGAAGTAATTTCAGAATATTTGAGAATTCTAGGAGTCTTGGTAGACAACAAATGGAACACGAGTCAGCAGTGTGATGTGCCTACCAAGAAAGCCAATGCATCAATAGGAGTCTAGTGTCTAGATCACGGGAAGTGATAGTACCACTCTATTCTGCTTTGGTCAAACCGCACCTGCAGTATTGTGTCCAGTTTGGGGCACCTCAATTCAAGAAGGATCTTGATAACCTGGAATGTGTCCAGAGGAAGGCAACCAAAATGGTCAAAGGTCTGGAAGTCATGTCCTATGAGGAGTGGTTTGGGGAGCTGGGAATGTTTGGCCTTACCAAAAGAAGGTTAAGATGGGACATGATAGCCCTGTTTAAACCTTTGAAGGGATGTCATGTCGAGGAAGGGACAGGTTTGTTTTCCACAGCTCCAGACACTAGGACAAGGAGCAATGGTTTCAAACTATAGGAAAGAGATTCCACCTGAATCTCAGGAAGAGCTTCCTGACAGTCAGAGCTGGTTGGCAGTGGAATAGGCTGCCTCGGGGTGCAGTGGAGTCTCCTTCTTTGGAGGTTTTTAAGCAGAGGCTGGATGGTGGGAGTGCTTTGATGGAGTTCTTGCACGGCAGGGGGTTGGACTCAATGTGGTCTCTTCCAACTCTGTGATTATATGATTCTATGAAATTGCATTGAGGCAAGCCAAATGCTTGCCTAAACAAAGCAGCCACCAAATGGTGATGAAACGTTGCCCACAAACATGCACAATGAAACCTGCGAGGCAGGAAGCTCCAGGCATAAAAATCAGTCAGTTTTGTTTTATATCATTTCTTAGAATTTCACCTATGTCCCATCTCATTCCTACAGCAGGCAGCTAAACTTTTATTTCCCTTCTCGCATGGAATTTTGTTTAGATTTTGGTATGCATTCTTCTTTATGGATTTTCTTTAATGCATTTGCCCCACTGACTAAAGACTCTTGGAGCCCATTTTTCCCAAACACACCCATTTTAAATCATTCACATTTAAAAAACACATATATAGCTTGATGTGCAATTTTCCTTCACTTGTTGTTGTTGTTTTTGTTGTAAGGGGTGTGCTTTGTCTTCACATGGCAAAGTGCAAAATGGAGAAGAGTGGATGTATTTCTTTTCCATTGCTCTTTTGGTTTCTGCTTTCCCCATATCTACCAAATATGTCTTGGCTGATGCATAAAGGAGGGCTCTCCAGAGGATGATTGCAGGGATGGACAGAGCCACAGGTAATATGCCCCTCCCTTGCTGTCTCACGGTTCAGCATAGCTCATTCACTTCTTCTGAGACAGCTGAGCAACCATTTATGGAATGCTTCACTCCAGCACCTTTACACAAATCTTCCTGCACCCACCAATGGCTCAACAACACCAGTGTGAAGCTATCCCACCCAAAAGGTCTGCTGACCTCCCATTACATAGGCACCTCCTAAGAGAAGGGATGTCAAGTGGCACAACCAAGCTCCTCCAACAGTGACAGCAGCAAAAGCTCCGACAACTCAGCCGTGGTGGATCAGGAGACATAATGTGTCCCTTGCCCTCTGCTAACAAAACTAGGTCCTGAGCTGCTATGAGCAAGGGAGTGCTTTGCTTGTATTCTTAATACAAACTGATGGGACGGAGCTCCCCAGCTAGCTATTGAGGATTCTTTTAGGCATGGCTGATTTTGATATCAGAGGTCTAAGTCTACATATGCAGCTGGGCGGAAATGCCTAGTGGCCTCTAGGCATCCAAACGCGCATTTCTGGGTGATTGTGGACTGTGACTGTGGTTTCAGGTGCCTTGAGACCATTATGCTGAGAATGAAATAAGTGTAGGTCTTTACAATCTAAGGTCTTTAAAGCCTAAACCATCACAGCCCCGAATATAGTCATACATAGGCTCATTCTTGCGCTATGTGTGTACTTCCCCTTTGTTCACAGCTAAATATTTGTCTGTGTCTTTGTGGACATGCAATTAGTGCTTGGCTGCCTATAACTAATTGCTGGGCTACCCCAGCAAGAATAATGACTTTTCCAAATAATGGTTCATGCACATTGGCTCCAAGACTCTGTGCCACCATCAGCCTGCAGTAGATGACTTCAGGCACCAAAGGTAGAAAAATTCCGCTACTGCTCTGCAACTTGATTTATGAGGACTGGACCCAAGAAACAGCTCTGTAATGCCAGTCCTCAGGCAAAGCCTCACAGTTCCGTTTCTGCTCTGTAATCTTTTCAGAATATCCAATTAAGTTAAGGAATGCATCTTATAACAGACCAAGCATGTGCAATGTGATAATCCTGAAAAGTCTGCACAAGCATTGACTGACCTTATATCATGCGTGTACCTTCTTTGCATATACAGAGCCATGTACAGAGAACACGTGTACTTCTCTGCATCAGTGTAAAATCCATTGTTGGTTTAAGAGCCAGGTCCCTTCTGGGTCTCTTTGGGCTAGATGATGGCATGGGGTGAAGCGTGCAATCAGGATCAGGACCACAACAACTGATATCATCTCTTCCCCCCCCCGCCCCATCTCTTCCAGCTCATATTCCATTTCGGATGCTTAAGTACACACAGGCTTTTCACACATGGGGAAACCTGGCAAAGACAGTGCCATGACTCTCTTACAGAATGATGCCCAGACCATTTTGGACTGGGAGGACTTTCAATTACTGGCTAACCTCCCATGCAGCCCCTTCCCCCATCACACACACATACATTTTCTGACTCTGGTGACACATCCACAGGCCATGAAAGTAGAGGCACATTTTGATTATTACTGTTATTATTCATGAGGGAGTAATGGTGGGGGGATGTGGAAAATTAAGCTGGATGGGGTTTGTTTTTTTGCAGGCTGAGCAGCAGTATCTTGCCTTCTCTTTTCTTAGATGAACTGTTCTGCTGCCACATGCACCAGCCAAACCACAAGAATAAATGGCTACCCCATGAAGTCCTCGCCCTCTTCCTCCTTCCTCTCTCTGCAGTCCATACAAAAGGGAGCTTCCCTCCTCCCCCCCCTTCAGTGCCTCTGAAATTACACCACTTTATGAAGTTGTTTCAAGGGAGGCATTGTGGGCAAACATGGTTACCAGCAATGTTTCCCCAAGCAAGGCATGGTGAGATGATACGGGGGAGCAGGAGCTGCTGCCTTCACAATATTTTCTTTCCAAAAATAAATCTGAGTTTTCTCTTCCACACATCCTCTGGGCATTTTTCCCCCAGAGAAAGGCTTCCCCACTATATTTCCTGCTCTACTCTTCTTATATCTCTTTGCACTACTGCATCAACACAGTTAGAACTCTGATTGTAGTTTGTCAGTGTAATCTGTCTGGCTTTTGGTGTCTATAATACAGACTAAAGTATCTTGCATATTTTTCTTTAAAAAAAACCATAAATGGAAATCCAAACATATGGGTTTACCCAATAGACATTAATTAAGATGCATTTTGAGAGAAAGTTTATTTTGTTTCTTATTTGATAAGCGTAGCTCTCTGAATCAATTACCTTATTCAAAATCAGAAAACAAAGTTAAGCACAAAAATGTCCAATTTATTGTTATTTTCTCTGTAATCAAAGCTGGGATTATAAAAGATAACTGAAGAAGCTTGTGAATACCTAATAAGGATTTGGGTTTTTTAATGCATTGTACAAAATTAGGATTTTGATCATACATACATAGTCTCATACGCACAGCTACACATGTAGGGAGGATTTATGTATCTCCTCTCTCTCCATCTGTTTCATTGTTCACCTCTTCACATGTGCAAAGAGCCATGGACAGACTGCAACACCATATCTACTATTTTTAGCACAAGACACATCTGCACTTCCTTCTATTTATCGAGCCAACCTTTTCATCCAAAGGGTTCCAGTGTACAACTCATGGATCATCTGTGTGCATGAGTGTGAGTGTGTCTGTCTGTCTGTCTGTCTTTGTCTGTATGGATAGAGAGATGGAAAGAGAGTGAGAGAGAGATGGACAGACATTCACATACAAGAAATAGGCCTTGTTACCCCAGGTAACTGCAATACAAAGTCTACTGCTAAATTAATGCAGCTGCAATCCCATGCAGTCACAGCAGCAAAATCAACAGTGTGATTGCTACAAAAAGCTGGCATAGAAACACCAGCATTCATTCAGCAACAGCAACATGCTGGGAAGACATCAATCAATGTTTGGCAACAGACACAATGCCACAATACCGTCACCCTGCTTAGTCCATTTCCTCTCACAAAGACAACATGCAATGAGCCTGAAGGGAAGAGACTACACACCACCCTTGAGAAGGGAAACAGACAGTAATTCAGAGCCACAGTTTGGGCCTGTCCTCTGGCTCATGGACTGACAGCTTTATTCAGGCAATCCACTGACTCAACCATGCTCCAGGATGTCTTTCATTAGCCTACATCCCCTCACCCCCCACCCAACCACACCTCTACAATGTTTATTTGGCTTCCAGCACCTGCTAATAATGTTCCTTTTACATACTGACATCAATCCCCACCATTACCAAAACTCAGCTTCTAGCAGGCTACACTGCCCAGCAGTCACCATAAAGACTTGGAAAGACCTTGCATTTCTGAGATCTCACCCTCAATTCTTCTTGGTACACCTGTGGCAAGGTGATCAGCAAAATGCAGAAGGAGCCATTGGGGAGCAACCTTCTGTTCTGCTTCCTCTCTGGAGTTCACTCTTGTGAAAGTATCTGACATAAGTGATACGAATGAGACACAGATACACATGGGAAATAGTTGAAGTTTCTTTTATAGAATAATATAACGGATGGAGCGCAATCTGGGCACAATGCCAAAGAACTGGCATACCAACCATTTTGTTCTTGCAGGGCCCCTTGGCCTGAGAAAAATGTATAACAACAGAAAGTGCTCCACATGCATACCAGGTATTGCTAAAACTGTTACTTTGCCTTCTGCCATGCCTTCTGAAAAACCATAGGAGCCCAGAAAGCGGCATCCCTACAAAACACAACTGTATGTTGGACAGCAGTCCAATTTTTCTTGAACTCCGATTAAATTTCATCATTGGCTGCCATGCCTAGAGTGTTGGATGAGTGTTATGCTTCAACACCTGGAAAGCCATATATTCTCTACTCTTGTTACAGAAGAACATCTAGATTTCAACTGGTTGTTGCTCTTCTAGGCCTCAGTGAAGCTGGTGTGGAAGAGAATCATCCTTGGCAAGTGTTGGAGGGCCACCTGGTTGCCTGTGGAGAGACAGAAGAAAAGTGGTGAATAAAACACAGCAGCTTCAACCAACTAATTCCAAATGATTAGCTGTGTATCAGGGTTGGGGATAAATGTTTGAAAGACAGAAGTATGCAGTATGGAGAAAGCTTCCAGCTGAATACAAACCTTCAAAGGAAGATCACACAAAAGGTCAGAGAAGGTGAACATCAGTCCATTCCATTCCATCTGTTAGCACTATTAGCTGAACACTCCCTGATCAGTTGTCCAGATCAGAAGCAGAGTATAAGCAGCAGGATGAATGTATGCCAGAGGGAGCATCCCATTACAAACATCAAGTGTAGAACAGCAGAGATAAGAGTGAAAACAGGGTTAGCACATGCAGAATAGAAAAGCATTTCCCAACTGTCCTCCATATAGAGAACAGAATTCTCATCAGCCAGATAAGAGAAAGGGGTTAAGCTGCTACACAATGGCTGTGAGCAAGTCCTAAAAAACCCACCTCTTTTCTGTGGTGGACCCTTAGGAGGAGGTCAAGGGGATTTGCTTCAAGGCATTACCTTTCAACCACTTCCCAGGTAAGTCCCCATCCCTTGGCTTACCTGCACATGGTTCTTGTATGTAGCCAGTGAGCTGGTATTCCTGGATGGTTCTAGTGTTTGGAGAGCTAAAGCAAAGCATCTGTAAAAGTTCTGAGAAGACAAGTGGCAGTCATTTGCCTTTGGTTGGTTGTTTTTCCCTCCCTCTGGCCATTAAGCCATTGTGGGTTGTGCAAAGTGCTTCCTTTGTGTAACTTCTCCATTATCAAAGCCTCAACTTGTGTGCTAATGGTTCTTAAAGAAAGAGACTGTGTTTAGAGATATAATTGCATTGCAACTCATACTGTGATTCTTGTCAATACACAAAAGCCATGTTGTTTTGTTGAGCCTCATAGAGCAGTTCTAGTGGTGTGTTGTGATTGTTTTTTGAGTGAGGTGAAAAGTTTGCCCCTCCTACAGTATAAGGACAGGGGTGCAAGCAGTCATTTATGGCTTCCCTTTGACCTCAGAGAAAGAAATTGAAAATATTCTAGCTTGTTTGCAACCACAGCACTGTCACCCACAGAAAGTACAGGCTTCCAACCAAAGGCCAAATGACTGCAATCCTATGTGTTCAAACATATGACAGCACCTAGCGGTGGAGGAAGAAAGAAATCAGGGGCCTATTTTTAAAAGCAAGTGGGTTGTGTGATTAAAGATGGAAGAATCTGCACACACTTTTCTCTTAGCCACAGTTCAGGTACCGTCTGCCTGGTTGAGAGAAATACACTGGCAAAGAGGGTCTGTTAGTCATAGGAGGGGGGGGAAAGCTCTGTGTCCTCCCCTGCATGAACCTTTTGCTTTTAAAATCAAGGATCACTCCATACCTCTTTCCATATGGCCAGTTTAGTTTTTTATTCAAATAATTGTGCTCTTCTCCCCAATGTTGACCATTCCTCCACCTTTCATGTGACTCCCCAAAATTTTCCAGCCTGAATTAGCAGGATTTCATCTGCATAAGTATGAAATCAGTGGCACGCTCCCACCAGCATATGTGTAGCACTAGGATGGCTACACTGATGTGGCATTGTGCTCTGATAGCACAAAAGAGTGGAGGAGCAATATGACTTTATCCAGTGGGTACTAGATGAATACAGGATCAAGATGTGCAAAGTTTTACACCTGTAGCACTGCTGCTCATATCAAAGCAATTGAACGAGAATGGGAAAAACAACTACGATACTTTAGCCAACTCTTTTACCCACTCAATTGCTGTCTCATCTAGTCAACTCTTTCAGAAAACGAATCATAATCCTGTTATAAAAGTAAATATTGCAGATAGTAGAGAAATAATTTACTAGCAACATACAAGATGTCAGAGGCAGAACAGTAGAATGAAATTCAGAAGATTTGATCAGTCCAAAACCCATTATTTTTCTAAACCCAAAGTTTTCACATCAAAATTGAAAATAAATACAGGTTGCATACCTCTCTCCATTGCTTTGTCTCTATACCCTGAGTATACAGCACACACACTGCAAAAAGAGGGGGAAATACAAGTTAACTCAGTCAGTGATAAAATGGAAAGAAGACACCAATGAAGTCCTACTGCATAGTCTACAAATAAGCAATACACCTTTAAGGTGCCACAACGTTTTGGTCTTCTTTACTTTTTATTTTTGTTTTTGCCTGATATACTAACACAGAATAATACAGCTACTTCTTTAAAATCTAGCTTTGAAAAAGTGGAAGCCCTGAGTAGCATGGAAGAGAACTCTGTGTCTGAAGCAAAACAGGCTGATTTACATTGGCTTTTCCATCATGTGAGCTGTTTAAAAAGTTCAAATTCATCAATTCTCCTTCCACAGCAAAATTGGTACTATTTGCCAGTGTAATTACAGTCTGAATGAGTTAGGTAGTGTTCATTTCCTTGTATGCATACATAACACTGCAACTTTGCAGTGCAATCCTACACATATTTACTCAAAAATAAATCCAGTCATGTTCAACAGAGTATACTGCCAGGTAGGAACACGTTAAATGGTGGCCTTAATCTAATGTGACTTTTTCTACTTGTAACAATCATTCCTTTCTCCCATTGAAACTGAGAAGCAGAGTTTAAGAAAATTACTCTTTTGGGTTATAAGTCTCAGACCCCAGGGTAGCTGGAGGATTCTTGGACTTGCAGTCCAAAAAAAGGAATGTTAGGGTTATTAGTCAGGAAGACAGGAGCAAGACCAAATGTTGAAAAGCTTTAGCTGTGACTTTTGACTTGGCAAAGTGCAAGCTGCCTTTAATGGCACTGGCCCAGAATCAATGGTGAAACCTCTCTTCTCCGACCCCTTTCCCCTGCCTGTTTCTTCCTCAGAGGTCCTGGAATTTCTCTCCTGCTCTTCCAAAGAAACCACAGAAATCTCGACCCGATCTTAAGGGTGACTCATTTAAATGAGTCAATAAAGACGCCTTCATTAATGTACTTCACTGTCTTTCAAGCGCTCCCCATTACTAAAACACATCAGAGAGGTAAAGAAGATTAATGAGGTTCTAACGAAGAAACACTGCCAAAGTGCTGGCAAATGGGCAGCGAGCAAACACTCCTTCAGGAGGCTTTTCTCAGGTGCTGCTGCTTATCCCTCTTCGTCTGTGCAAAGACCTTCTGGGAGTGTCTACATTCCATGACCATATGAACAGAAACACCATGGTACGTATTGAGAACGGAATAAAATGCAGCAGGAGAGTGCTCCTGTTCACTCTAACCTGCTCACTACATCCCTTCTAAGAACACTCTAACGCAGCCCTCCAACATTCAATCGATAAGAATGCTCAGTCCTCACTAGGTTGTGGAGGCAGAGGGGAATTTCCAATGTTTCATGTTTCCTGATAAACATTTATACCTCTGAAAAGCTTGGGGTTTTGATACTTCCCTCTTGTGCAGGCCTGTTGCTACTCTGGCTACATTTGAATAATGGATTTATTGTCAGTATACAGGAGAATACATATACATCAAGAGAATTAGGCTGATTCATTCATTCAAATCAAACAGACGAGTCCCTGAAATATGTGCGCTGATACATGTAAAGGTCTGAGAAATATCACCTTTATTAGGAGCACTTGAAAATATCAAAGCCAAGCCAGAGGGCTGTTCTGAACATGAAAGCTGAGATACCCACACAGGATTGCAGTTTCCTTTTCAGTACACAGGGCTTTATGTGCATTCTTTTGTACATTTAGACACTATCCTTCCAGCAGCATAAATGAAGATTTCACACACCTCAACGTAGATGTGCATACTCAAATAGCCACATGCAGGAATTGGTGTGATTATTTTTATAAATGTGTGATGGTTGTAGGTTACCCAAATACGACTGCTACCATACAGGAAGTCTAAAGCCAGGAAGATCTTTTTATTCACCAACTGACACAACCCACCATTCTTTGTTTTAGAGTAATTGTTATGAAACTCTGAATAAACCAGTAATCTGAAGTCCCTCGGGTTTCAGATGAAAACTTAACAATACAATCCAGCATATATTTGCTTAGAAGCAGAGCTTGCTATAAAAGTTCACATTATTCAAGAAAAGCACTGAAACTTAGCCATAAATTCTGTTCTTACAAATCTTAAAAGTGCTTCATTTTGGCTCTTTTATGCCAAAGGTTGCAAAGTTTCATACCTATTTGCATGGTAGGACTCTTAAGTTTCCATGGATTCAGAACAAATCTCAACAAATCTAAGTTCAGAAATACTATAACCAAATCATTGCCTGAAAAAAAAAATGAAGATGTGTGAAAATTTTACGTACATGGATCTGACTTGGAGAAGGTATCTTTATCCAGAAGATTCCTATAATAAAGGAAAAGAAAGAAAAAAAATCACAAAATAGCTCAGACAGATCCATTTTCAATACAAATCTACCAGATAATTTGAACTGTGTTTTTAATGCAACATTCATTTACAGAAATATTCTAAACAGCAGCCAAGAAACACAACCTTGAATTTGTTTAGTGAAGTGAAGGTGTCAAGGCTGAACCATGGATAGCTAGAGAAGATCCAAAGGTTCAAATCTGAAGGTTTGTGTAATCCAAAACACCTGAAGGACCAAAGGTTCTCCACTCTGTCCTAAATTTGCTTGCTGCCTTCAAATTCATTGAAAGACCACGTCCTGGTGTCAATACTGACGAAACTGCTCCCTGCCCTGAATTAGCTTTTAGTCATGGGACAGCAGTGTGTGCCATCTTGTTCTTCTTTTCAGATAGCAAAATGCCTTTGGTTAACACTGGATCAGGCCTGAAAATATACTAAAAGCAAGGAATGCCCCAAACTAATCCAAGGTAACCCAACCAGAACCAGGAAGATCTGTTTGCTTAACTCACTTCACACGTGACAAGAAGGCTCAGTTATTAGTCTAGAAGAGCAGGGCTGGTCCTCAACCTGAGGATACCTCATGGCCCAAGGGGTTACTCTGAAATGCAATGCTGACTCTTAGGAACACAAGGGTGTTGCCTACACAACTGGCTGCTGGTTCTAACCTAGACAATTTCTGATGAAATCAATAATGCTCTGCATCAATACAGCCAAGGAACCGCTTTCTTTTACTCTGTCTGAACCTTTCAGTGCAGAATATCACTTGATACACAAAAAGGCAACTAATTTCTGACTGTCACCTTGTTGATGCTATGTGCTGTCAAGTCAGAACTGGCTTATAGTGACCCTAACAGGGTTTTCAAGGTAAGTGAGATAGTTAAGGAGTGATTTTACCAGTTCCACAACTCCAGTGAGTTTCCATGGCTGAACAGGGATTCAAACCTGGGCGTTCTGAGTCCTAGTCAGTCACTCTGTTCACTACACCACACTTTGTATCCAATGGTCACCTATTTTATTTTTTAAATAAATATTTAAATTTTTTTTTACCCTGCCTTTCTCCTCAAAAGGACCCAAGGGGTTCACATCATGAAAAAGACACCTAGACCAGTACAAATGAAAAGGAATGGTAGAAGAATATTCCTCATTATAGACTGTGTTTGAAACATGAGCTAGTTCTAAGCCACATGAACAGAAATGTTGCTTTCTCTCCTGCTTTAGTTTTTGTACTTGAGATGCCAAGATTACAAAAATTTATCTCCTAAAGTTATGGAAATTACAGCAGGAAAACAACCAAACATTTTGGTCTTCCGAATATTGATTTATTTCCATCAACTGTAACCCCAACTGAACATCAGTTGCCTTCTGCACCTTGAGAAATCAAGTTCAGTGAAGTCTCTGTTTAAGTACCAACCTGTGGCCCTCCAGATATTGTTGGACCCAACAGATCCAACCAACAGGCTGACAGATGCAAGCTGTGGTACAAGAACATCTGGAGGGCCACTCCTAACTGAAGAAGCTAGACAGAACTGGTGATGGACCTCACCAAGAAACTAAATGGGACACACATGTCAGACTCACCTATGCGAGTGTTCGATTTATGGATGCACATTATTGAGTCTGCACTTGAATCCCCTAGAGAATGTTCTAGAACAGTGATGGCAAACCTTCTTGAGCCTGAGTGCCCAAACTGCAACACAAAACCAACTTATTTAAAAACAACTGCCCCTGCACTGCAAGGGTTAAATGCTTGTGTTTTTCCCCAGGGACGGTATTAACAGAGAAATACTTACCAGTCCTCCAATACCCCCTCAGGCTAGACCAGTAACTGCACCCCTCCGCTGGACCACTGCACCAGCGGAGGGGAGTGCTGAAATCTAGGATTGGAGGACAGGTAAGTATTTCTTGATGGTGACTTATGCCTCACATACCCACAGAGAGGGCTCTGCTGGCCTGCTGTGGCATTTGTGCCATAGGTTCGCCATCACTGTTCTGGAATCTAATGAAGGCAAGTCAGGTATTTCATGTCAGGTATTTCATTTTGTAAACTAGATCTTTTTTGCAGCTAGTTTTCTACTGAGTATGGCAGAATAAAAAAAAAACTACTGCCCTCTGCAATACAGTATACCCTACCACCACCACTGCATTGTAATGAAGTCAGAGATGGCTGAGCAGTTCTAGTTGTATGTATATCATTAGTGAAAGGTGAATCACAGTGAATTCACATTTATAAACACAGTTAAGAGTGATGCAAAATTTAGGAAACAAGCCTTTCATCTGAGGTGGAACTTTCATATTATCAGGTAGGGAGGTATATTTATTTACACTTGTGCTCTGTATTATTCCAAGGTCTGCTTTGCTATTGTAATGTGCTACCAAGTTGCTTCTGTCCTATGGTGACTCTAGCAGGGTTTTTAAGGCATGTGAAATGGTCACAGAGCATTTTATCATTGCCACCCCCTCCCAGTGAGTTTTCATGGCTGAGCAGGGATTTGCACCCACGTCTCATGAGTCCTAATCTAGCATTCTATCTATTCCATCAGAATGGTTCTCGGGGGAAGGAAGGCTGTGTTCTTTTTCTTTTCTTTTGTCTGTTTGTTTTGTTATTATCTGTTAGATTGTTAATGTTTTTAAGTTTTTATGTTTAGATATGAATAAAATGGTATTTAAAAAAAGAATGGTTCTCAAGGTCTACTATAAATATCATTATAATAAGAGTTTGTTTCAGGGGCTTCAACAGCTGCATATAGTGTATTTTGGAATTTCACAAGAACAGTTCCTCCAAGACCAATCATACATCAGTTTGGTCAATCCCAGTTCTTCAAGACAATTAACAATTTTCTGGGAGCTGTCCAGCATTTGAAGTGCTGAACGAAGTCAGAAAAGGCTGCAATGAAGACATTCCCGTAAATGTCAGAGGATCCTTTGCTTACTTGAATGAACTTTGGATTGGGCCCTAATGGCATAGGGTGTCAGCAGTGAACAGGAGAGATAATGAGGGATTAGAAAGAGTTTAATAGCATTCCAGCTTCAGAGCTAGGGCTCTTGCAAATGTTTCTTTCAATAGCTTATCTTCAAAGCACGCAAGAGCACCAATTAAATGAAAGGAGATACACAGACTGAGTGCAGAGGGAGCTTGTTTCAAATCATTGGCACACTCCTCCAAGGAAACAATATTTCACTGCTTTAGAAGGAGGAGGCTCAACCTGAGGGATTTTAAACACTCAGGTTGTTGCATTTGGACCAGGGAGAAAGCTGCTCTGAGTCACCACAAATCATATAGATCCGTAACTAGGGAAACAGAAGCAAAACTTGCATTTTTCCCTGCATGGTTGCTGCCAGGTGAACAAAGAAGATGCTGATGGATTGCAGAGGACACTGGCCATCATTGCCCCTGAATAAGGTTAAGCTTGAAGAACAGAAAGCTTCAGAGTAGCGCACAAGAAGCTTCAGAGAGCAATTACCGCATGACTCACTTACGGCAATTTATTCTAAACATTCAAAAAGATTCAGCAGCATCTTGAGAAGGATGATCTATCCCCTTATCTTAAGAAGTGACACCCAATGATTAAGAATGGAGGGTAGGACTCCAGCACATAATACACATTAGTGATAAAGTCATGGAGCAGAAGCATTTTGTGGAAGTTGCCAGTCAATGGTTTACTTCCCTTGGAGGCACGGATGGAAAGGGAAAAAAGGGGAGCAGAAGAGAATGCCTGCAGCAATTGTTGTTTATGTGATATGCCTTGGGGTCCACTGGTCCCCTATGTTTGTCCTGATCCTAATGTTGCACACCTTTCCCTACACAAAAATCTGGAAGCAAAGCACATCTTGAGAGGGGGTTGTATGTCATTCTCTTTTGCATTTGAAAAAAACTGTAGAGCCTGTGGGTCTCTACCTGTAATTCTGCTTTCATTGAACAGGATGCCCTGCCATGCAATGACAAACCACATTCACCACTTGACGATTACGTGAAGAGCCAGTAGAATTTGTGTGGGAGGCTGCCGCAAATTACCTGAATGACCCATTAAGCATGAGTAGTACACCGCTGGGTGGGGGGAGTCCCTGTCATCCCAAAGGAAAGAGGATAATACATGTCGTACAAGTTGTTATGTCTGAAGCAGCAGAATAAAAGGAGATGCAGAAATGAGAAGAGAAAAGAGAGAAAGGAAAGGAAGATACTATACAAATATCAAAGGAACCAGACAACCAACAATTAGAATGTAATAATTCCAAGTAACTGGGACCCATTTGTCCTTCTGCTGGTAAGGTTGACCTATCGGTGCTCCATAAAATACTGCTTTCCTCTCCTTGTTGTTTTCCTTTGGGAGTTCCTGATACATTGCCTCCTCTCCTCCCACCACAGTATCTCATTCCCACAATGATAAAAGGCCCACCGGGATCACACAAAACCTCTGCCAATTGAGCAGCTCTGACTTTCTCCTGGAGGACAAGGCTTGAATGACTATTCCCCAAATAAAATAATGCTCATTTGGCAAGCTAAGTTATATAAGTATTGGCAAAAATACAAAAAAAAATTCACTGCTCATGAAAATATAAGAATGCAGCTGCATCTCTCTGTAAGGCTGGAAACCTGTATCAAACCTATAGCAGAAAAGCATCAAGAGGAAATAAGGCAAGAGACTAGGAAGTAGCCACAGGGAACCAGGAGAAAAGGTGCTATGAAGTAGTTTCTAGCCATCTCTTCCTTTCACTCTCTTCTCGTTTCTGCAAAACCTCTTGTTCTACAGGTTCAGGTATAACAACTAGTAAAGCATGTATGATTCTGTGTTCTCTGGGATGAGAAAGAATGAATCCAAAGAATGACCTAAAGAAAGATCTTGGTCCAGTCCATTATGAATCATACATCAGATCAGCCAATGCACAGCACATTGGGATTCAGTGCAAACTGTTGTGGCTTTGTTTTTGTTTTGTTCCATTTTGTTGTACACACATTCCCAGAGGGTGTTCCTAGATTTCAG